ACATGTACATGTACATGTAGTTATAATCGCTTTAACCTTTCAACCTTGTGCAGTATAATATTATTGTAGTTCATTGGGAAAGTATTATAGTATTTTTGTTATTACAGGAAGGGGATACTGCTCTTATTGTATCAGCAAGAGGAAGAGACTATGAGACTGTAAAAGTACTGCTGGATAATGGAGCTGACCCAAACATAGGCCAAGAATTAGATTATGTTAGTAATATAAATGTACTTCATGCTCATTAATGCATGTACATGTACATTAGAATAGCAGAAAACATGTTTTTTGTGGACTTGAGCATAGCAACAAATAATAAACACTTAAATTATTTATTATTATCTAATACCACACCTGTTCATTATTTAATTGATTGTTTTACTTGTTCCAAAGATGATCTTGTACTTAATTTATAGTTTTGCCTTCTTGTATCACGTTTAACGGCAGCTACATATCAGCATGCACATTAGGAATTTGTAGTTTTAATTTTAATGAGTATAATAATTATTGATTATATGATTGTAATTGGAACCACATCTACAGGCTTTCACCTGTAGTTTACAGTACATGTGAAAGAAATATGTGTGATCCCAATTTTAGTGTAGTAATAAAAGTTAATAAAAAAATAATGATTTGTCATTAGTTGAAAGTTTTGGCAGTAATTGGATCAGTTGTGATAAAAATTATTATAGTGTGCTTTGTAGTTGTAATGATCAGGAATCATGATACATTTCAGCTTGTGTACTCAAGATAGCTTAAACCTTAGAAATTACAAAAACACATGGACTAGATGAGTACAGTCCCTTCACACAACAGAAATAATACCACCAAGTTAAATTCCCCACCCAATATAAAGTTTAACCTGACAAAGAGCCACTATACAGTAATTAAAGTTTGGCTTGTGTCACTGTTTCTTGTTACTGCATGATGTTCACTTCATTAGTTTGTGTCCATACTATGTGTAGTGTAATGTAATATTCTAAAACACACTATGTATACAAGTACATGTACATGTACCTTGTATATGTACACGTACATATCTATGTTGCTTTTGTGTGCATGTTTAACTTTAACATTTACATATTCTTACATTGTTACTATAGGTTGATTCACCACTGATTGAAGCAGCAGCAAAAGGACATTATCAAGTGGTGGAACTTTTATTAACCAAAGGAGCTGATCCAAACTTTACAAGTAAAGTGAGTTACTAACAACATGATAAAATACATACATGTATACATGTACATGTAGATAGCTATAAATGGTATCATACACATAGCACTTTGTATAAAATCTTACATGTTTAGTATACTGGTACACCACTGACTGTAGCAGCAAAAAAGGACATCATCTTGTAGTTGAACTTTTATTATCCAAAGGAGCTAATCCATGCTATATAGGAGGAAATTTTGGAGGAAATTAAATTTTGCAAGTTTGGCATTTTGATAGCCATTCACCGAAACAAAAATCTGCCATTTTGAGCCCTTATATGCATGCTCAATGGCACATGGCCACAAATTTGCCAAATTAAAATTCACCAATTGCGAAAATTTAGCAATTTGCCAAATTTGTGCATGTACATGTGCTGCTGTAGATCAGAAAATTTTTGTGTGAAAAGTAATTGGTGTGAAATTTTTTCAAGTCATTTTATTTTTGTTGGTTGACCAATCCATAACATTTTTTAACACAAAAAATTCTTGTTGCATCATAAACTGGACACATAACCATTCACTCTTG